GTGAATTCTCATTGACAGGCACATCATTGTAGAGTGACAGCAATCTTAAACACCAATGGGATTACCTTCAGCAAGGAGGATATTCGCTTATATTGAATTGATTTTATTAAAACTTAATTTAGTTAGTACTTTACCATTTACACAATTTATTCAGTAACTTATTCTGTAATCCAAGATGGCACCAGAATGTGGCGACATTATCCACTTTTCACAAGGTACAAGTGATAATATTAAATAAATCTAAATAAACCTAAACTTTTGATCCAGAAATTGTCATTTGAACCATATCATCAACATGATGAGCAGTACAGGTCTCTACAAAATGTATAAATGCATCCCTGACCAAGTATGGGCATATATTTTATTCCATTGAGTAGGCCTTCCACCAGTGGGTATGCACAGCATGAATAGTAGCCTTGTGCCTGTCTATAACTCAAATCTATTCGGCACTGAGCCCTAGATATCTGTGCACGTCCTTTGCCCAGTCAGCGAGCAACTTCTTTCAGTAACTGTTGTCCCAACTCTAAGACTTTATATTGAATATGCAATATGTATCTGCCTTCAGCTGGATGCTACCATACCAGTTACCTTGAGGCTTAAGGCAACCAACATACCAGGACGCAAGTTTACTTGTAATCTTGAATTGCAGGTGCATAAGTGAATTGGGTAGAAAGCCAGGCTCCATCTTTCTGAAAAAGGTCAAATTGTAGTATTTCATTATCTTTGTCACTATGTGTGCATATGCAAGATAATGGATAACTGACTGGCTGAAAGATGGAACACAGGGGTTGGGGAAATTGTTTGAGTGACAGAATGTAGAAAGTGGAGTCTCAAAAAGGTCAGTGCTAGGAATACTATTGTTCAAACTTGATATTGGAGACTTAGCCTTTTGAAACAAAACAACATTTCCAACTTGTCCAGTCAATTGAGAGGGACTGCAACAGCTGAGGATGATGCACATAATTCAGTACAATTAATGAATCATCACATAATTGGCAAATTAATTTCTATATGGGTAGAAACAATTAAGGTTACAGAAAATAGAAAAACATCTAAATGGGGTAAAGAAGAAAGAGATGTGGGAGTAAAATTACAGTAATTCCTAAAGATTGTGGGACAGTTCAGTAAAACCATAAAGAAAATCAACCAAGCACCAGGGATTATTTCGAGAGGGATAGAATCAGAAATAGGCGCTTGGTTGAACTTGCATTGGACCTTAGTTGGGTCACTTGGAAGAATGTGCAATTTAGTCACCATATCACCAAAAGGATACAGTAACTGAGGAAAAGGTGTGAAATAGATTTACAAAGATAATTCTATCACATTGAGATTGATATCTATCAAGATAGGATGAATTGGCTGAATTTCTTTAATGTTGCAAAGGGAAGGCAGAATGGTGACCAACTACAGATCTTTAAAGGTGTGCAAATTTTGATATAATAATGACAAAATGGTCTGCATTTTAGACAAAATCAACAGTTCAGCTGCTGGGGGTAAGACAAACTTCAGTCAGCAGCAGCAACACTACTCCCTCTCCTCCCCCTTCCCCCCCACCCCCACACACACTAACACACACACACACACACACACACACACACACACACACACACACACACCCACACACACACTCTCTCTCTCTCTCTCTCTCTCACACACAGACACACTCTCTCTCTCTCACACACACACACACTCTCTCTCTCACACACACACACACACAAACACACTCTCTCTTGCACACACACATACACACTCTCACTCTCTTACACACACACACACTCACACTCTCACTCTCTCTCTCGCACACACACACACACTCTCGCGCACACACACTCTCTCTTTCTCGCGCACACACACACACACTCTCTCACTCTCTCTCACACACACAGATACACACTCTCACTCTCTCACACACGCACACACACGCTCTCTCACACACTCTCTCTCTCACACGCGCACACACGCACACACACGCTCTCTCACACACTCTCTCTCTCACACACACACTCACACGCTCTCTCACACACACACACGCTCTCACACACACACACGCTCTCTCACACACACAGACACGCTCTCACACACACAGACACGCTCTCACGCACACACACACGCTCTCTCACACACACACACGCTCTCACACACACAGACACACTCTCTCACACACACAGACACACTCTCTCACACACACACGCGCACAGACACATTCTCTCACACACACACGCGCACAGACACATTCTCTCACACACACACACACACACACACACACACACACCCCTTCATCCAAGCTGTGTTCGCCTACTGCAGCACCAACCAACTGAAGATGGCAGCCTGCTCCCTTGAGCTACTGGCCCAATCAGAAGGCCAGCAATCCAACAGCACCATTACTATTGATGCCTTTTGCTGAGGGTGTAGCAACAGACACCTCAATACCAATACACCATCAAATAGAAGGTAGGTACTTTTTAAAATGACTGGGGCAGACTCACACATGCAGCTTATTTTGTCATTTGGGACAAGATTGCACTGCTAAGGTTCTTTTTGCTGGTGATAAGCCATTTTTCCAGACCTCCCATCTCCTGGACAAAGTTCCAATGAACCTGGAAAATTTAGCCCTTTATTTCCACACGTGGAGAAGAGCAAAACTGGACATCATAAATGTAACGTGGTCACCAAAACATCCAGTGGGAAGTCCAAAAGAAATGCTTCCATCCACAGAGTGGTGGAAATGTCAAACTCACTATCACAAAGGGTAGTTGAAGTGAATAGTATGGATGCCTTTAAGACAAAGCTGAGGGAATCGAGGGTTGTGCTACAAGTTACGTAAAGGATAGAAGGAGGGTGCTGTACAGCATAAATGCCAGCATCAGCGAGTTGGGTCAAATGGCTTGTTCCTATGCTCTACATTCTCTGTGAAAGATTTTGTACTATTGAGGGCTAAAATGGAACCATAAATCATTCTTTCTCACAAGGTTTCAATGAGACAGCAAACTGCTTTGATTGTTCTAGTAATTAGTCACTAAAAGGGGCAGATGATATATTGGCTACATCACTTAGCAGTGCCTGAATATGTAAAAGCTTGAACTTAAAATTGTGTCATGTTCAAGATGCTTTATTTTGCCTTTGAGAGTGTCCCAGCAGAACAGGATTTTAAGAATATCAAAACAGGATTGTAAATATTTACCCTGTGCTATTTTGGTTCACGAAAATTATTAAAAATATTTTATCCGCTGATTTAATCTGTTCCGTATTTAAATCTATATCTTACTATGAATTGAATGTGCAGTTTTAGACTGAGATGTTCCCCAACCTGAGTATTTCCAGCATTTTCTCTCTTTATTTCAAATTTCCAGCACCCACAGTATTTTACTTTTGTATTTGTGTTTAATACAATGTGACTGTTCATCCATGAATGCCCACCTTGAAGATGTTCTGCTGTTCTCTTCAATAAGATTTCTGTTTGTCTCTTTTATATTGTTCACCTTCATTGCTTTCTATATCTTTTTCTCCATGTTTGAGCAGATACATCACTTGTATTGCCGTATCTTTCTTTTGCAACTATTTCTAGTTTTGATATACTTCAGCAGCATCAATGCGTGATCTCAAGCTGTCTTTGTCCCTGGACCATTTTACTGTTTCCCTCAGCCAACACTTTAATAAACTCTCCCTCTCTGTGTTGGTGTGAAGGATTGTAAACTGCAGAAAGGCTGAGATAACAACACCCTCCCAGATCCTTTTTTCCTTTTGGTGTACTCTGATTCCGTCCTCCTTCCAGCTTCACCCTTTATCATGTATTTATTATCCCCTTTGGTGGTCCCCTGTCTGACCCAAATGGTTAGTCCTCAGCCAAGGTCACAGTTTTATCCTCTTAGCACCTACCACAATAAATTTTGAGCTGACCTCTTCTTCTGTCACTTTCGCCTCGCTGCTTATTTTTCTGGCCAGGAGGCTTCCCCTGCAGAGTGGATCATGTTTTTCACTTTCAGAGTTCCCGGATCTCCTGTCCGAGCCTCTCGAGCTTTTCATTGGGATCTGCCCACGTGACACCAGTCAGTTCAATTTCTCTACTCCCCTCACCCATTGGGTGGTGTGGAAGTGACATCTTCAATCATGGCTTCCAGAAGGGCCCTGGATAATTACCTGAAGAGATTAAATTTGCAAGGCTACAGGTGAAGAGCACAGGACTGGCTGAGTTGTTCTTGCTAAAAGCTGGCACAATGGGCTGAATGGCTGCCTTCTGAGTTGTTGTAACCAAACTACGATTGTACATTGTTGTCATTATCTGTTAATGCTAGTGTTTCAATCTCTGAGTACAGAAATCTAGAATGGGTTCTCTATACTATATCCAGTACAACCCAGTGGCTCGAGGGATATAATTAGTCCTAAGACATTATGAACTTTAAGGGTCTTTTCAGAGGTGCATGTGCTTATCAAAGTGAACTGTCATTCATGATGAGTATTAATGAGGAATGTTGGAACAAGGTTTACAACAATCTGCTGTATTGATTCAATTCAGTTCAGCGATTTCTCTAGCATCTTTATTAATGCAATCATTCCAACCCAATCTTCGGATAATGTCTGTTTTTAATGAATGTTGGTACGTGCTGGAAATCTTCTTGACCTCTTCTCAATGTGAGAAGATTGTGTTCTGAAGCAGAATCTGTAGGATTCCTTCATGTATCCTCACCTAATTCAAAAATGTTATGAAATTTGAACATTTCAAATGTATAAATTCAGTATGCTCTGGACCTCAAAAGCAAAACTGCAATACTGCAAGTCTCTGCTAATCTTGATGTAGTGCTTGATGTAGTGAAAATCCAATGAGCACTAACATTATCAGTTCACACTATTTAAAAAAATGTCATCCAATTGAATGAAGGAGAGATTACTAAATTGTTCTTTCTCTTATTGTTGTAAAAGAAATTGGGCAGAAATTGTTAATTAAATGCAACCTGCCGTTCTTTGTGTTTAACTGTACTGACTTCTTATCCTGTCTTTGCCAGAGGAGAGTCTTTGCCAACGTGAAGCCTCTGCGGAAGAGGAACTCCATGATGGACACATCCCTGAGCAGTTTGCAGGTTTGCTACATGGCTCATCCCCAGCCTGTGAGTCTCCAGAGAACCCTTATCATCTGTACACAAAAGCAAATAAGGAGTTCAGCAGTGACAATGCCTTGAGAATCAAAGGGACAACCCGGGAGCCAAATTTAATTAAAGCAAATTCACTACAATGCACAGATGAAACAAATGAGGCACAGCGGCTGCAAGCTGTCAGTGATGCATCAATATTAAACAGAGACAGCAAACCACAAGTTCTTTATAAAACCATTTTACACACGAAAGTGAACCAGAATGACAGTGATACATTAGTCAATTCCAGAACTTTTCGGAATAATGATCGCTGGATAAGCAGCACAGGAGAAAAGCTTGGTTTTGAGGATAGGGCATGCACTTTAGGAAGGGTAAGATCAGGAGGAAAGACCCTTCTTGAGTTACAATTAGCCAGAAACATTTCAAAGTCAGACTCCAACCTTATTACTTGCTCACCTATTGAGGAAGAATCGAGGAGCAGTCGCTGTGAGTCTGTAACAAACTATTTTAAAGAAAGCAAGCAGTGCACCGGAAAATGCCTGGAACGTACACCTTCTTTCACAGCTGAATGGGAAGAGGTAAGATTTGTTATAAAAATACCATCTGCAGCAAATGTCAATTGTGGGCATTCCAAGATTGTATTGCATTTAAGCTGTGATTTGTATTGGGGGAACTGTTAGACTACTCCAGCAATAAGAAATAAAACTAAGAAAAAGAGCCCCTCAAAGATCGACGAGGTAGTAATGTATGGAACCACACGTGACAACAGAAATACTAAATGGATATTTCATGTCAGTATTTACTGTGGAGACAGACGTGAAGGCTAGGGAAATAAATGTTGATGTCTTGAAAACAGTCCACATTACAGAAGAGGAGGTGCTGGAAGTCTTAAAAAACATAAAAGTGGATCAATCTCCAGGACCTGATCTGGTATATCCCAGGACGCTGGGGACGAAATAGCAGGGCTCCTAGCAGAGGTATTTGTATCATCAATAGCCATGGGTGAGGTGCCGGAGGACTGGAGGATGGCTAATGTTGTGCCCTTTAGTTAAGAAAGGCTGCAAAGGACAACCCTGGGAACTATAGACCAGTGAATCTGACATCAGTGTTGGGTAAGTTGTTGAAGGGGATTGTGAGAGATAGGATTTATATGCATTTGGAGAGGCAAGGACTGATTTTTTAATAATTCAAGGGATGTGGGCATCTCTGGCTAGACCAATATTTATTGCCCATATCTAATTGCCCAGAGGGTAGTTGGAGTCAACCACATTACTGTTGGTCTGGAGTCACATGTAGATCGGATCAGGTAAGGTTGGCAGTTTTCATTCCCTAAAGGGGATTAGTGATTAGGGATGGTCAGCAATGGCTTTGTACATGGTAAATCGTGTCTCACAAACTTGATTGAGTTTTTTGAGTCCGTGACCAAGAAGATAAATGAGGGCGGAGCAGTAGATGTCGTGAACATGGACTTTAGTAAAGCCTTTGACAAGGTTCCACATTGTAGACTGCTTAGTAAAGTTAGGTCGCATGAGATTTAGGGAGAGCTTGCCAATTGGGTTTGATAGTAAGAGACAGAGGGTGATGGTGAAGGGTTGGTTTTCGGACTGAAGGCCTGTGACCAGTGGTGTTCCACAGGGATCAGTGCTGGATCCACTGTCGTTTATCATTTATATAAACGATTTGGATGAAATTTAGAAGTAATGGTTAGTAAATTTGTGGATGACACCAAAATCGGTAGTATAATGGACAGTGAAGAGGTTATGTAAGATTACAAAGGGATCTTGATCAATTGGGCCAATGAGCCAAGGAGTAGCAGATGGGGTTTAATTTAGTTAAATGCAAGGTGTTACATTTTGGTAAGACGAACAAGGACAGGACTTAGACAGTTAATAGTAGGGCCCCAGGTAGTGTTGTTGAACAGAGAGACCAATGGGTTCAGATACATGGTTCTTTGAAAATTGTACCACGGGTTGACAGGCTGGTGAAGAAGGCTTTTGGCACGCTTGCCTTTGTTACTCAGACCATTGAGTATAGGAGTTGGGATATCATGTTGCAGTTGTACAGGACATTGGTGAAGTCACTTTTGGAGCTCTGTGTACAGTTTTGGTCACCCTGCTATAGGAAGAATTGAGAGGGTGCAGAAAAGACTTACAAGGATGTTACTGGGGCTAGAGGGTTTGAGTTATAAGGATAGGCTGGTTAGGCTGGCACTTTCTTCACCAGAGTGTAGGAGGTTGAGAGATGATCATATAAAGAATCATGAAGGACACAGATAAGGTGAATAGCAAAGATCATTTGCCTAGGGTAGGAGAGTTCAAAACTAGAGAGCATATTTTTAAGATGAAAGGAGAAAAATTTAAAAGGGATCTGACGGGCAACTTTTTCACACAGAGGTTGGTTTGTATGTAGAATGAACTGCGGAAGGAAGTGGTAGATGCAGGTACAGCTACAACATTTAAAAGACATTTGGATAAGTACATGAATAGGGAAAGGTTAGAGGGATATGGCCAAACACAGGCAAATGGGACCAGTTCAGTTTGGGAAACTGGCTGGCATGGACAAATTGAACCAAAGGGTTATTTCCTTACTGTATGAATGTACGACTCTAGATTCGTGAATGATGCCTAAATTCTAGAAACGCAACTATTGCAATAAACTAAAACCTAGTGTTCATTGCCCATCATATTTGCTCAGATTGTTAATAGTAGCCAATAAACTAGCTTGAAAGGATTTAGCATTGCAAGAGTCCAATGTGTATTTGCTAACAAACAAAGTTACTTACTTAATAATCCGGATCTTAATTCAGTTCTTTACAAGGGGTTGAATTCTATTCTGAACATATGAAAGTATAGTTTAAAAGTGAATTTTGTGAATAGCAATTCTTCTTGAAGCAACATTGAATATGTAGTGAGGGGCTGTATGGAGATGTAGGTTGACATATCATCCCTTCACCCTAAAAGCTGGAATGGTCTTCTTGCTGCTGGCTGTGCATTTCATTTAGAAATTACTTGGTATCAGTCAAGCCCTTTGTGGTTGTAAAAGTGTTCCTATTTCAACAGTAGATAGTCTCAGAAGGGCTACCAGATTGTGACAGGAATCACACTGGTGTAAGTAGTTACAACTGAGAATGAGTGTAGGGCATTTTTATGGGGCAAAGGTTGAGGTGGCTTTATTTAACCTTTGGTGGATCACCAGCCCATGTCTGGTTGAGGCTTGGTGCTCTCAATTCAAGTCAAAAAATAAAAATAAACACCTTTGGCACCCGCAATTATGTAATGTATTCAAAATTTGCAGTATTGTGAATAATTCTACTTATTAATTATTTAGGTCAGAAGTCACATGACACCAGGTTATAGTCCGACAGGTTTATTTGAAATCACAAGCTTTTGGAGCGCTGCTCCTTCCAGACACAGGAGCAGCACTCCAAAAGCGTGTGATTTCAAATAAACCTGTTGGAATATAACCTGGTGTCATGTGCCTTCTGACCTTGTCCACCCAAGTCCAACGCCAGCACCTTCGCATGTTAATTACTTAGTTTAAGTTAATTTATTTTCAATATTTTCTGAAAAGATGATTGAAGATTTCAGACACTTTGATAGCTTGCTGGAAATGTACAAAGTGGTTGCTGCCATGGGGTTTTGTTGACCCAGTATTGGTGATTTCAGCAGTTCCATTACCCAGACAAAAATACTTCCAGCACTTACTGACAATAATCCATCCTTTTCTATCCAAAAGGTTATGAGAATCTACATTGAGGACCTCTCACCAATTGAACCATAAAAGATTACAGCACAGAAAAGGACCACTTCACCCATGAAACCTGTGCCATGTCTTAATTCAAAAGTTAATCCCTTTGCTTCCCAATGGTCTTGTAATATCTATCCTTCAAACATATAAATTCACACTTCCCTTTAAAAGATACAATTATCTAAATTAATCCCAGTGGGAAAGCTATATGTGCTACCGTAAAAAAATGACAAGTTTTTTATTTCAAACCTCTCTTCCCTCTTGGAACAATTTTCAATTGATGAACCCTCATCACTGAGTTTCATCAGATGAAACTCACTTTCCTTAGTCAGCTTATCAAATCTTCTCATAGTTTTATTAACTCTTAAATCTCCTCTTGGCTTCATTTGAGTAGATCATTGGATTTCAAACACAGTCTTAAAAGTTTGAAGGTTTCATGGTGAGAGCAGTGACATTGAAAAAGGCAAAATTATGGTTACCCCTGTAAAATTTTGCTCTGATAAAAGAATGGCACACCTGTAAATCTGCCTTGCTCGGTGTTAGATGTAGTTTTTGGGACTTCTGGAATTAATTGGTGACAAAGGGGAAAATTTTATATTGTAAATAGATCATAGAACTCGTCAAGTAATAAGAATTTTCATCATTAATTGTTTTCCACTTGCAAGTGTATCTTGCATTTGTCATACTTTGAGATGTAATTGCTTTCAGGATTTTTTTGGACAGGACTGTAACTAAGATTAAAGCAGAGCAAATAGTTGTAATGGATCCCATGGGTGTACCTAATCGGAGCAGAACACAGTCTTTGCTTTTGCAGGTGTTCGGAGCTCTAAAGAGGATGAACCAATGAAGTAACTGTTTAGAGATTAATGGTTCTTAATATGTCTTTGCAGATTGATAAAATCATGAGCTCCATAGGAGCTGGAATCAATACAGGCCTGAAAGGAAAGCACGATGATGTTTCAGGTAAGGAACTAAACCTGAATGCACATAATTGCATTCACATTAAATTCATGAAAACTAAATACTTATCGCTGATAAATAATAAGGTTCTTCAGTACACTTGTCAAGTGTTATTATTTATTGAGTCTTGCAAAATCTTTCAGTGTAAGTTTTTTTTCTTCCCTGGGCCTTAAGAATATACATAATTTGACAAAAATATGGGCTAATAAATGAAATTTGTTGAAGACAAATTTTATTCAACTATATTGATTAAGTTCTCTGATGAAAAGATGTAGTGGGTTGATGAGAGCAGTGCAGTTTTTATGTTGTATACATCAACTTTCCAAAGGTTCTTAGCAACAAGCCACATTATACACTGGCAAGCATTATTAAAACTTCTGGGATTATTGGGACGGTGGCAACATGGAAAAGGAATTGGATAAGGGACAGAAAGCAGAGAATAGTGGTAAATGGTTGTTTATCAGATCCGATGGAAGTCCATAGAAGTATGAACTGATCTGATTACAAGACCATTGATTAATCTGAGATGTATTAGTGACCTGAACTTGGGTATAAGGGCAAGAATTTTGAAGGTTCCAGGTAACACAAACCCGACAATGTAATATCTGATGTGATTAGTAACACACATCACGAATGCATAAAACAGGCTGATGAAGTAGACAGATACATGGCAGATGAAATTTAATGCAGAGAAGTGTGAAGTGCTACATTTAGTCGGAAGAATGAAGAAATGTAAAATAAACAGAATGACTCAATTTAAAGAGGGTGTAAAAACAGAGATATCTTGGAATATTGTGCGCACACAAATCTTTGAAGCTGACAGGATACATTGAGAAGACCGTTATAAAACCAGGACCAAATCCACAGCCCTTAACATCTAGAAGAACAAGGGCAGCAGATGAATGGAAATACCGCCACTTGCAAGTTTTCCTGTAACACTCCCCATTCTGACTTTGAAACATATTGCCGTCCCTTCGGTGTCACTGTATCTAATGCCTGGAATTCCCTCCTTAAAATCATTATGGGTCTACCTATAGCACATGGACTGCAGCAGTTGAAGAAAGCAGCTCACCACCACCTTCTCAAGGGCAACAGGGGACGGGCAATAACTGCTGGCCCAGCCAGCGACACTCCCATCCCATGACTGAATTTTTAAAAATATAGAATTTGTGAACTTATTAACAAAAAGCACTAGAGTACAGAACCAAAGTAGCATGCTAAACATTTTTAAAAACACTTCTTATTCCTCAGCTAGATTATTGCATTAAACTATGCGGAGCATACTTTGGAAAAATGTTAAGATCTTACAGAGAGTGCAGTAAGAAATTTACAAGAATGGTCCCAAAAAATGGGGGCTTCATTCAATTAGGGAGGCTGGTGAAGCTGGGACTGGTCTCTGTGCAAAAAATGTTAAAAAAAAGATTTGATAAAACTGTTCAAAATCATGAAAGGTTTTAATAGCGTGAAAAAGGAGACACAGTTTCTAGTGACAGAAGGATCAGCAACCAATTTACGGTGATTGGTAAAGAAGACCAGGGGCAATATAAAGAAATATTTTTCATGCAGTGAATTATTGTATTCTGGGACAGACTACCTGACGGAAGCAGATTCAGCAGTAACTTTACAAAGGAAATTGGATCAATGCGTGAAGGGGACAAATTTACAGAGCTATGGGGCAAGAGTCAGAAAGTAGGACAAAATGGATAGTTCTACCAAAGAGACAGGATGAACAAAATGGTTGATTGGCTTAGTTCTACCTGTATGATTCTATGTTTCATATTAAAAATCTGCTTCCAATAACCTAACTGTCACCAAGTCTCATTTACCATCATCTTTTTAATTGGTGCTCTTTTTCCCAAATAGTTGAAGTGTAAATTATTTCTAGTGTTTTAAATTCCTTCAAGGCACCACCCCTGCCTATCAGTGTAACCACCTCCAGCCTTACAGACTCCTCCTTAAATTCTGTTATTTAGCTCCAGTTTCATGTGCATTCCCCGCCAGTTTTTTGTCCCAACATTGGTGGCTTTACTTTAGGCTGGTCTGCCTCAATGCTTTATCATTTCCTTCCTACATCCCTTTGTCTTTCTATCTCTTTGCCACAATTATCATTAAAAGCATCTAGCTGCTCCCACAGTAATGTTATTTCCTTTGAGTGGGTAGCAGTGCTTCTTTTAGTAACGCCTCCATCAATTGCCTGGAGACATTTTTAGGGTGTTAAATAAAATGCAAGTTATTGTTAATAGATGAGAAAACTGACTTTTTATTATGCCATTTTTTTTTTGCTGCTGCATCAAGAAAACAGTGTTGCCCATCATGTTCATTACAAACTGTTGCATTCACCTGCACTTCCCAAAATAGCTGTGATCTGTCTTTAATGATGAATGATAAAATGAGAAGCTATTAAACAATGTAGTTGTGGTTCAGTTTGATGTGTAGATTGTGACTCTGTCATGGACATATACAAAGAAAGTACTGATGCAATGTAATTTACTTTATGACAGTTTAAACAGCGGTCTAAATAAATATTAAGATGAATACTCTCAACTCAGTTTTGAGAAGATTTCTTTGAGGCCACATGTATTAGTTTGAATGAAAAGTTAAAATGCATCCAACTGCAAGTACATTTTGGTCCTTCATCTTTCAGACATTTGAAAAATGTTTATTGCTTTTAAAAGTTTTAGTATTTTTGATGAAAGTGCATTGAATTGTGATATTATTTGTATATTATATTGAAGACTGATGTTGTCAGCATGTTCTGCTGGAGGAAGCAGTAGCACTTACAGAAAGCAGACAGAAGAATTTTGTACGGTGGTATTTCCTGCATTTGTTTTAACTGAACTCATCATTCAAGGTTGGCGTATGTGTGTGTGTAGGAGGGAACAGCATCAGCATCTGCATCAGCAACAGATTTACAGCTAGCAAACAAAGAAATCTGGTTTTCTGATGGCCTTTAGAGAGACTGTGAGGTGTAGCCTGGGCTGGGCAATGAACAGGAGAAGGGGGGGAGCATGAAGCATGGTACAGCATACTGATGAGTGTGGGAGTACTTGATAAAAAGAATCCTAGCTACTGGCAGAACAGTGCTTACCGTGGAGAACTGCGACATTCACACGTTCAGGGACCAGCCTGCTTTTAATATTCTCTCTTTGATGTGTTCTTTAGACAGACTACTATATATATAGAGATAGACACCTTGGCATGCTGGATCCACATCTTGTTGCAATACCTGCTGGCTGTGAGAAGCATTCCAGCATTTAGACAAGCTACAGGGAATAATATTGTCAATAGACTTGTGCACCACAAAAGCTATCAAGCTGGCGGGCTCATTCGACAGTCACATTCCGAGGAATACGATGTGGCAATGCCACCTCTCAACCTCGGAATGCCCCTATTACCGGATTGATGGTATGTCACTACTGAAGCGGCTTCCCCTTCAACCTCTTACAGGACCCAGAGTTGTATTTCAGACTGTGGGACGGTGGCTGGAGAGCATAGGACTTCCGCAGTATGAAAACCACCTGCTGGCAAATGGATTTGACAACATCCAGTTCATGGTAAGCTACCTTCTGTTTTATTCTTGCGCATGAACAGTTGATGTTTTCTCAAGACCATGCTCCTTCTTACCTTCCTCCCTCCCTTTCTGTCTCTCTCCCCGTCCCACTAGATCATGACCTGTATCCATTGTATTGTTGCCCCAGCAACTGTGGACTTGTGTGGCCCATTAAACTTAGCATTGGAGGCATCAGTTTGTCTACCATTACCATGATGGATTAATCAATTTCAGTTGCTTTGGGTCTGTGTATCTTTGTGTCCTGTGTCTCTGTGCATAAATAAAACTATGTATCATCATATCTTGCACCCCAGAGGGGCTACAGAAGATTAATTGATTAGTTGTGTTCTGGAAAGGAATTATTTTGTAAATGTACATATATGAACATTATAATTAGGGTAGAGTTGAAATTTGATTCTGTGCAAATATACACACACAAAAGTTTTCTTATCTGTGAACTAAAAAGATACTTGAGTGCTTCAGTAATGAAAATAGAAATTTCAATGGCTAAAAATCTGGGGTTGCAGAATTGTTGCAACATTTCAAAATTGCTTATCCATATTCTTTAAAATAAAATTTTATGTAAAAATGAGACTTTGACACAATTCCATTCTGATTGTTAAGATTTGTGATTAAACAGAGCTGAAATTATCTGTCTAAGCCACGTAGACAGGTACCTCATACTTGTAGAGGAACAATAACTTCTATCCCACTTGTTTTTTCAAAATCATTTTTGTATTTCATTTTCACTGTATACAGCTCATAGAAATATGTGGTGACTTTCAGCTTGAGAGAGAGAGAAAAGCAATTATTGTAGTTACTAGGAGACCAGCTATAATTAGCTGTTTCTTACAGGGAGTGTCAATCACTGACAGAATGCCTACATTATAATCTTCCCTACCCACACCAAGCTATAACCTGAATTGATTCTTTTTAAAAAATGAATGTAGATGAATCAAATTGATGCAGAATTGTATGTTTTTCATCCACCTTATCAACAAGATAAATATAATTATAAATCTGAAGTTTATTCATGTCATTCCAGTGGAAGGAAATTTGTTGCTGTTTCACAAGTCGGTTTACTCCAGTCTGCAGTGTACTTAATCTAATTTTGAGTGTTAAATCTAATTCTTGATCTGTCATCAATTCCTTTAAACCATATATCCGACCAGAAAAAGCAACTTCCAATGCACAACAGCCTCTGCTCGGGCTCTTTAGACAATTCTTTTTAGGTAAATTTAGGTGATGACCCAGTAATGTTCTAGTTTTTCTGTTGTGTTTGTAAAAATGCTGAAGGTTAAGATTTTTAAGCAATAGCTTGTACATCATTTCAGAAAGGTCACCCATTCCTTTCAGATTCTTTATAGCTGGTGTAATTAACAGTAATTTGCAGTTTTTCCATCAAGGTGAGATGTGCCAATCTGGAAAGTGGTGTGTTCATTACATTAGACCGATATTTTAACTCTGAATCTGAAAAGAGATTTCTTTTGTTAAGATTAGGGGTAGCTGATGAAGATGATCAGATTTGAATTAGTAAACATAGCATAGAAAATTCTATTTCCTACAGACAAGTACTTGAAGTTCACTCAGGTTTTCCTTAACAATAATGACGCTTAAAATGTTTTTTGTGAAAATGACTTCATTAGAAATAGAGAAGCCAAAGTTTTGGTAATGTTTATCTCTAGCAGGGGAAGAAGAGCAGCTAAAAATATTTTTCGTGAGGAATATACATTTCAGAATTGCTTATTGTAATGTTCATATAACCTTGTAATAATACATTTATATATTTTATATACACATTCAGGCTGTCAAACCTCTTAACAACTCAATCAAATCCTGGTTGATCTATTCCTCAAAATCACCTTTGATCCATTCTTTCTTAATTTCTTACTACTTGCTTCAAGGCAGTTGTTTTTTTTAGCTGATGCAAAAAGTTAGGATTTGGGAACATGGGTGCACAGAATAATTTCAGAGCTCCATGACCTGGAGGAAAATCTATGTGGAAAAATTGAAAATAAGATCACTGACTGAAGGCATGTGGAAATAAGTTCTTCAGTGTAGTGTTTATGAAACATTTGCTAATAGATCAATATTTTAAAAACTGCACCACTGTACAAAATCTTTGATTATTTCCTAAATATTGATTTTAACAATGTGTTTTTATGTAAATCCTCTTCCCCTTTCCTGCTTGGAGGATCATTGAGCCAAACCTTGTGGAGACGAGAGGGATTTTGGTCACCAACTGCAGAGCTGGCAAAATCTCCCTGTTGTCTCTTTCGAGGAAGACCTGCCACAACCTGTGCCAGTCAGACACTTATGGGCCAGCAGTGGGTCTTTCCCCAAGATTCTCAGGTCGGAAGTTCCCGCCCCATTAAGAGTTGCTGGCCAACTAGAGGCAGGAGACCCTTCTGTACTTAGCAGCGCCACAGGAGAGGTAGTGGCTGCTGTTGATACTGCACCCAAGGGAGGCCTTGGATTGAGGTGGTCCCCAGGCATGAGCACCTGATAGCAGGAGGTGCATCTTGGGAAGGATAGATGAGGATGTTGGCAGCAAGGACATTCCCCTTGATGCTGGGTATCCTTGATCAGGCCTTAAGTGCTATTGAACGAGGAATATCTTGCGGGAGTCCATATAAAAATATGCCAAAGTTTGCTTGTCGTGCTTTCCACATGCCAAACCCACTGCCCAGTGATAGTAGATGAGACCATTAAGTGTGCATTAATTGTCCGTTTAACACCCTCAATTGGTAGCAGGGCAGGAAGGGTTTAAATAGTCCATGTCACCAAAATTGGTCACCGAAAGTTAAACTGCTTTACTTCTGGCCAGCCAGCTTGTCACCTCAGGAAATTGAAGGTATAGCTTTTTCCCCCCTCCATGGTCACATCCTGATATGGTCCATTTAATTATAAAAACAAAATTATACAAAACAGTTTGCTTGGAAGCACATTTAATACTTTTGAAAAATGCCTTCAAGTCAACTTATTATGAAGCATCATCAGAGACAGATTTTTCCAAAAGTTGGCACACAGAGGATAGTCTCATTGCATTTGAGACAATGTTACAAAAATAGCTTTCAGTGAAAGGATTCTATCAGAAGAGAAGCAAAACTTTTCCAGCGCAACTGAAACTGTTGTGTGTTTCTAACATTTCATGTTTTATTCCATCTTTATTGTTTTCACCTCTGTAACCGAATGAAGAACTTCATTTCAATTGCATTCACAAGTGCAGCTGTAAATATTATATCCATTAGCCAATTACTCTATTTATCTTTGAGTATTTGCCACCTTAAATTAGGGAGTTCCCTCATGCATTTATTAATCTCATGTGTTAAAGGTTTTTAAACTAAGAGACATTTAATATTCCAGCCATGTGCAACACAAATCATATCAAGTGAAGACTTTGGCACTGAGTGTATCGGCTTAAATCAAATTTCCAAAATGGTCTGATATGTAATTTGTTCTGTGCTTTCTACTTAGAAGACGTTTATTCACGTAATAATTAAAGCTTAGAATTTTTTAAGCGAATGTTTGTGTTGATGTTGTACTTAAAAAGACTAGTTTTTTTAGAATATTTAATTGACAGTTTTTTTCCCTGGAAGATGGTATGTCTGTGCGTGACAGGAGATTTCGTTCAATATTTTAGTTATCACTGGTGATGTTAAAGAAAGATCAGAAATGTTAACAATTGAAGAAAAAAAATCAGTTATTCAGGCAGTCTGGGAAGAGCTTGATTGAGTTCAGAGCATTCTTTTTGCATTTGCTTTTTTTTTCCATAAAATATGTGAGTAATCATTTTAATTTGCTGGGGAAACCAGAGGGATGGAAATATTTTGGATAAGTAATGGACTCAGTGTTTTAGGTGGTTTTTGCCCATATTTATTTATTCTTCAAAATACTTGAAACGTTTCCACTTTTCTTTTTGGTAAGCATTTATTTTTTGTTTGTGAGCATCATTCCCTCTTCTAATTCGCTATCCTCTCATACAATGTCTGTAAGCTCACTTCAATGATTGAAAGATCCACAAAATTTCAGTTCACATCCTTGTTAGTAAGTCATAGCCTACACCTTCTCACTTCTTCTCTTCCACACCAGTTCTTTAAAATATTTTCTATTGGAATAAATACCTGTCTCCCCTCAACCTGATAAAGAGAGTTTGAGACGGATCTCCAGATCTGTAAAAACACAAGCTGTACACTATGGAGAACAACTGAGGAATATCATCAGCTCAAAATGCAAAACTGATTTTAGGAAATATATTTACACTTATGGTTGCAAACTGTCTCAATGGATTATAAATGATCATGAGCTACTGGTATCTTACTATTGGACGTCTGCATGTTGGACACAGGTGTTCACCATTTTTCTTACTGTATCTGTTGAATACTAAGAAAGATTAATTGTGTAGTGGAATTCTGTCTTTAAATGGTCTGCCTTATACAACAGTGTAGACATTAACAATACCAATGAAGCTGTGTGCCCATGTTACAGGTGAACAATCCCTGCTGATCCAGAAAGCAAACCTGTCAATATGGCAAAAATCTAACTGTTAATGGTACAGATTCAGTAAATAATGACAAAATTAGTCATTGTATAACATTAAAAACATTGCATTGCAAAAGTCATAGTAAGTGTTATAATCCGTCAAAAAGTTGGAGGTGGACCATTGATGGTCAAACTAATGTATTTTTTAAATTGTTTTGTTAAACTTTGTATGCTGTCCTCTGATATGACTTCTAGCCCGTGCTTTTCCATTCCTGTTTGCCAAGCATTACAGAGGGAAGAAAGAGCCCTCTACAGTTTTGTTTTCCATTCTGCATGCATTGCACCAGGAATAGTAAAATGATTAGGGTCAGGTTTTAGTAAGTCTTTTCTCTAGATGTGGCATTTCAATGATACAGCACATTGCAGTCAATAATCACTCCATTGTGCCCAAAGGGACAAAATCAATACTTCTAAATTTTTAATGAGCAGCCACTATTTATAAAAACATGCCCATTGACAAAA